GTTCCTCTGCTAAATAAAACTGCCTTTGGCTCAGTGGCTAAGAAGCTGAGCTTGTTGTTCAGAAGGTCGACAGTTTGGCAGTTCGAATCCCTAGCTCTGCGTAACGGAGTGAGCTCCCGTTACTTGTCCCAGCTTCTGCCAACCTAGCGGTTAGAAAGCATGTAAAAAGGCAAGTAGAAAATAGGAACCACCTTTGGTGGAAAGGTAACAGCGTTCCGTGCACCTTCGGCATTTAGTCATGCCGGCCACATGACCACGGATACGTCTTCAGACAGCACTGGCTCTTCGGCTTTGAAACAGAGATGAGTATCGCCACCTAGAGTCAGGAACAACTAGCACACCTGTGCGGGAGAAGCTTTACTTATACTATTTACTACAATGCATTTAATGTTACGATGTCATTCCCTTCTAAATAGAGTACATAATAATTGTTGATCTTCCTCGTCACTCCTTTAGGAGTGATAACCAAGAAAATGTATGTGTCTTCCCAGCCATTAACAAAACAATACATGGACAACAGATTCCACATTTCCTATTTTGGCTTGGCACATTTTTAACTTTCTTTTTTATTTTTCCAAGTGCCACAGAGGCACAACAAAAATCCTCTGGGATATTTTGGGGTTATGATCATTGCAAAGTATCTCGCTGTATGAAAAGAAGCATTTGATTTCCCCAATGGGAAAAAAAAATCTATTTGCCTTGCCATATCTCCAACATATTCACATAGTTCCCGGCTTACAACCATTAGTAACTTTTAGAAGTTTAAATGGCCCTGAAAAAGGGGAGTTACAACTGATCTTTGCACTTATGACCATTGTAATTACAACTATTAACCAGTGGAACGACTTGCCACCAGAAGCTGTGGGTGCTCCATCACTGGAGGTTTTGAAGAAGAGACAGAACAGCCATTTGTCTTGAGATGGCCTAGGGCAGGAGTGTCAAACTCCGGCCTATGGGATGGATGCATCACATACTGGCTCTGTCCCCGTCCGGTTTACTGAAGGGGGGAAAAGTCCCAATACATCACTTGACACTGCCGTGACACCGCAAGTTTGACACCCCTGGTCTAGGATTTCCTGCTTGAGCAGAGGGTTGGTCTAGAAGACCTCCAAGACCTCCATTTCAGACAAAAGGCTCCAGGACACTGCAACCATCATCAAGAGGAGACATTTGCCAAGCGTCTGAATTTTGATCAGGCGACAATGGGGATGCTCCAATGGCCATAAGTGTGAAAAACGATCACAAGACACCTTTTTTCCCCAGTGCCATTGTAACTTTGAATGGTCCCTAAACAATCTGTAGTTGCGTACATTGGTCCCACTGATGTCTTAAGTGAAGTCCTCTGAAGCGGGAGGTGCTGCTGTGAAACAGAATTCTACTTCTCCCTTTACTTAAATCAGTTCACTTTAAGGAATAATGAGAGTCGAGTTGTGCATTTCGTTAAACAAAACGAGCACACACTTTAGCTGAACTCAACTCACGTTCTGACCACACACACGAGACACAACAACTTCCTTCGTCCAAAGACGTATCCAAGGGTAGGCTTCAAAAATTTCAGCAATGGGTTCTTTGCCTGGTTGCTGGGTGGGTGGGTCATGGTGGGTGTCTGCTAGTCAGCCTCCTGCACCATGATGTGGGGGAGGTGTTTTCACTTGCCCTGGGCTCCAGAGGCTTTCCCCGAGCCTCTGGGAGGGCGAAAACTGCCTCCCCTGGACTCTGGAGGCCCTCCCAGAACTTCCAGGAGGTCTGTTTTTCCCCCTTCCCAAGCCTCCACCCAGGCCCTGCATTTATCTTGTATCCAAAATG